TTTGTAGGAGAAAGGACTGATAGGTCTTCATATACAAAGGATGCTACTGTAGCTGGTAGAGCAGTAAATATCACATTTGGTAGTGTTAGAGTGTTGCCATTATAATCAATTGCTGTGACCTCTTCATCAGGGAAATCTTGAATCTGTTTAACGTTTAGAACTACAAGCAATAGACAGTATTAGATGCACTAACATTGAGGTATAGTTCTTACAAATACTGTTAGTAGAACTTGAAAGAGATAAGTCCTGTCTTACATTAAGTGCAGCATTGTCCAGTGTCATTAATAGTTGACTAACAATGGAGACACCATCCTATGCATGACATTCATACAGTTGATATTATTTGAATAATTAATGATACCGTCTTATTTGAAGCCATCTGTATTATTTTACTAGCTATATCAAGCAATATCTAAGAACAGAAATTTTAATAGTAACTATTTTGTAATGTGTACAGTTTGTGTTTAAGGCAATGATGCACATGCAAGGTACATGTATAACTAACTACGTACCCACTGTATTGTCTCATTATCTGATTCTATAGTGCTGTTTGTGATGATGAAGTCCAGTAATACAATGCTTTGAGCTGCTGGAAAGTCATTCAGTTGTTGTGATAGTGATTCAAGAGCATCATAATGTGATATATTAATCTATAAAGGTATGCCAATAATGAAGGCAGTGTTTAATAACAATAGATATCAAAATTACTTTTGACATAATTTCTATGAATTGTTTACTGACACTGCAGTTAAGTTGACCCCATCTTCCATTAAGATCACAATATCTTGTAGCTAATAGAAAATATTTGGTTAATTTATTATAAACACTAACCGTTAAATGTTCCTTTATAACAAGTACCATTTGCATATTGTCCTGGTTTAGTGTTTTCCCACTGATTAGTTCCTGGGCAATTCATTAAAGGAGGAGAGAGAGAAGGAGAGGGAGAATTGAAATGATAGGAAGATGTTGTTGCAACAATTGAAGTTACTGCAGGCATTGTTGTTATAGATAGAGGAGTATGTCCACTGTTTGAGGAGTGGGGTCTTGATGATAGGATATGCATTGATGATGTAGAGTCAAGTTGAGAAGCAGATGACAGTATTGAAGTAGACATTGATGATGTAGCTGAAGGTGCTTGTATACTGAAAAAGTCGAGTTGAGAAGCAAATGACAATGTTGAACCTGAAGCAGGCATTGATGATGTAGAATCGAGTTGAGAAGCAGATGACAGAATTGAAGTAGGCATTGATAATCTAGCTGATGGTTGTATACTGACAAAAGACAATTCTGATAAACGAGATATTGATACTGGTGAATTGACAGTGGAAGATGAAGTACGCTCACTGACACTTGAAGTAGTAATTTGATTACTTGGTGAGCTGCATTTTGACACGGAATATTCGTAGCAATATGTTGATGAGTCATTCTGAATTGCTTCTGATATAATTTTTAAATCATATGGGCAAAATTTTAATTGTACAGTAGTGCTCGAATTTCTAACCACCCCATGGGCTATACTCACAAGACAGCTATCACTATGTATCTTCCACAGAAATCGTAAAAAATGAAAAGTTCTAGTATCATCATCTACCTCAAAAAGAACAGTCTGTTTATACACTTGGTCTGATTCTGAGAAATTCAGAAAGTATTCAAATTTAGTGTAGTCATTCACTTACTTTTGAAAGCAAAGCATTGGGGGAAAAGAGTAGTTTGTGATCTTGAAGTTGGATTTGCTACGTAGGCGTATCTTCCCCAGAAAGAAAGTATGTCAGCATCACTAGACTCAGTACATCTATCATTCACAGTGAAGTTAAACGTTAGTTCAACAAAAGTTCCATTAGATTTGCAAAAGAGACAGGCAAATAGTAACAGCAGTAAATTCGACATTATAATTATTATTGAAATTGAATAGATACGACTGCTAAATATACCGGTGTTGGAGGGTGGTTGGACCCCCCCTTCTATTTGGACCGGGGGTCCAAGCGCTCGCGAGTAGTTGGACCCCCCCCCTTTAGTGTAGTTGGACCCCCCCGCTTGCGCAGCTAGCACTAAGTCAGGTCGCAATCACGCACTGACTTACCAGCTGTACTGCTATGTTAGACTTTGAGTTGGTTTATACCAGAAAATGATGAGACTTTCGACACATTTGATG